CACTGTTTGTGTAGGTTTTAAAGAGGTCATAATATGCTCATTTTCAGGTTTATCATTTTGTTTAGGGGTTGTACCTGAATACGTTTACATGGTTACATTTTCAAAAAACACCATATTTTGTTTAATACTGCACATTGCTGCAGCTCCTCCTGTCTTTCACCCTGTGTTGAATGCTTCGTTTTAGCTTTGGAGTGATGCATCTTACCTCTACAAGCTCTTTGTTGGGAGTTGCACACGCGCAGTTCCTAGTTGTGACGTCAGCATAAAGCGGAAGAAAAGGCTGGACTACAAACAAACGGTTTTCAGGCAGTTCAGAGCAGAGTTTTCTGTGGGAGATGGGAACTCCCTTTGGGCTGGACTTTGGGCTTTTTCACTTTGCAAACCTGTTACATGCACACAAAAAAAGATATAACTCAATAAAGTCAAAGCCAAAAAGTTGTGGTGCAGCAGCCAGTCAGGTTAAGATCAGACCAGACAGTCACTGACGGTGCATTCAGGTTCTGTTCAGTTTCAAAACATTAACAGACAGCTGGGAGGAAAATCTGGGCGATTTGGGCTCTTTTTCGGGGACTGCTTGGCCTTTGAATTCAACATTTATTTTTTCCATTCAAATGTGTTTTGTTTTCACAGTTTAAGGTATTTAATCTGTAGAACTGAATTGATTTTTACTGCAAAACATATTGTTTGCATTTAGTTGTGTGTGAATAGGCTTTAACAGAGTATCTTTATTACAACTGAGAATTGTGTAATCTGCTAATAGAAATAATGTAATTATACAATAAATTTTACATTGCATGGTTAATTTTCTCTGCTATATAATTTAATATTATTTCTTATATTGTGTAACACTACATTTTTAAAGATGTAACACTGTTCTTACTGGTTCTTACTGTGTCCAGCAAAGAAATAAACTGAAAGATTTCTGTCAAAACGAGACCTGGAAATGTTTGTCCATACTGTTATTATTAGGTAGGACTACTGTAGTCGCTCAGAGTTTGAAAAAAGGCACTTCTGGTGCTTCGCTCCCACTCTGCACTGCTCACACATCAACTGAGGAGATTAAATTAATATTGCAATCGAAAAGCGGGGTACACCCATGGATTGTCACCAATCCATTGCAGACTTAGATTAGATTTAGCATCACCAATCAACCTAGTCAGCATGTCTTTGGATGGTGGGAGGAATAGAACATGGGGAGAACATGCGAACTCCTGGCCTGGAACGACCAAGGTTTGAACCCACGTCCTTCTTGCTGTGAGTTCTAACCACTGAACCACCGCACCACCCAAGAGCCATACCAATACACTCCTAAATCACATTTAAATGAATATGATTATTGAGAAAACCAATCAGAATTCACATTAATTCAGGAAGAAGTGAAACTGCAGGGAGTAAGACGGTGGTTAAGCAGCAATGATTCAGTGCTGAGCAAACAAATCTTTTTAGATCGCACCATGTGTTAACAAAGAGTTGACTGTTCCTGAGAGCCTCCTCTATGGCAATCTCGGATAATATAATAGTGATAATGTTCTTAAAGGTGATGGCGATGATGATGATGGGTGTGACAGTGTTTCACGATGTAGCCGATAGGGATGAAACGGTATGAAAATTTCATATCACGATTATCAGTATTATCACGGTATTGTAAAAATGTGCCAAAAAATATTAAAATGTACTGAAACACACACTGAAACCATTTCAACAAGTTTTATATTGAAAATTACAAATACGAATGCCATTTTGTTAGCATAAAAATGTTTTAAAAAATCAGCAAATACCTTTTGGAAATAAATGAAAAAGTTTGCATTATCAAGATTTTATATTATATATGTAATACAATGACCCCGTGGACAATTACATGAAAACAAATAAGTCTTCAGAAGACAGTGATAGTAACTGCAATGAGCCCAACAACTGACATAAATACAGAGGAGTCTGTAGCGTTTCTAGATATGCTGGTTGGTTGACTAAACAGCGTAACGTGTTATCATGTGCAGTGGACCAATAGACTCTGCCGACACACGACGCACACAGCAGCAGAACAACGTGTAGCGTTTTTACAAGAGCAGCAACACCGAGCGCTTCAGTCAGAGAGACAAACCAAAGCTAAAAGTTAACTCACCCTGCGTTCACTATAAGGCTATTTTCTTCAATCAAGTTTCCTTCAGCACTCTCATAAAAACTTAAATAGGACCGGACTTCAGAGTGACTGAAAAATCTCAGCAGCGCTGTCTATTGCCGTGTTGTCATTGACTCAAACAAACCCATGTTGCTTTCTGCGCATGCGATTTATGCCGATTTGTTGTTTATGATGGACATTGTCGGCTATGTTTTTACATACAGCTGTTGAATGGAGGCCTAGTTACATATCCATGTTGTATTTAAGATTGTTTACATGTTTATTGTGTAACTGATGTCCCTGATTAGCCCTTTATTTATTCTACTGTTTTTTACCCTGAGTCTGCATTCAGTATTTTATATATTTTATAGTCTTGTGTCTGCCCTGTAGGCTATGTTTTGTTGCAAAACCAATTGCCCTATGGGGACATATGATTGGCTGTGACATTAACTTTCCTCTGGATCCTCCGCCCCTGAGAATTAGGGCCCAAAGGCAGATTATTGATCATGTTGCTGCTGAAAGGTTCTCTGCCTTGTTTGACCCATATTCACTGATGAGATGCAGTGATGCAGATGTTTTTATCCAGTCTTTTAATAATCAGTGTTTAGCAATTTTAGATACAGTGGCACCAGTGAAATCAAGCATCGTCTCCCATAAAAAACCTTGTCCTTGGATTGACAAAACAATCCAGAGTTTTTGGAGAAACTGTAGAAAAGTTGAACGTAAATCTTCTAAACTTGAGGTTCACAGGCTTCATCTGAGAGAACTAAGGGTTACCTTAAACGAGATGCTGAGAAATGCAAGAACTTGCTTCTTTTCTCAGCTTATATCCTCGAATAAGCACAATCTTAAAATCCTGTTTGACACCATTAATGCAGTAGTTTCTCCTTCTGCCACTCAAACAACTGTGTCCTCTAAATCGGACTGTAATGAATTGCTTCACTTCTTTGTTTACAAGATCAGAGATGTCAGGGCAAACATCTCACGATCACTTTCTCAGAACTCTGCCTTTGACCTTTCTCCTGCTCACTCTTGGTCCTCTTTTAAACCTGTGACATTACAGGACATCACCTCTCTGCTACATACATTAAAAGTCTCATCTTGTCCTATGGATGTTCACCCTACTGTGCTATTTGTATAAGCGTTTGATTCTATTGGCCCCTGTATTGTGGAGATGCTTCATACTTAATACTGGATCCAAACTGGGCTTTTTCCGTACAGGCTTACCAATAGCATGTAAGTAAAAAGCCCAGTTTGGATCCATTACAACGCAGCAGCTACAGGCCAATATCAAAACTTCCATTCATGTCAACAATTCTAGAAAAAGTTGTAGCAGAGCAACTAACAAGCTACAGTCTGGTTTCAGTAAAAAGCAAGGTCAAGAGGTTTAGTTTTTGATTCAGCGTGGAGTCCCACTCTAAACAATTAGTCAGAAACTGTTTCTTCCAATTAAGGAATATTTCTAAGAACACTGGTGTCAAAGAGTGAGTTGGAGATGATGATTCATGCTTTTATTTCCCCTCGTTTAGATTAATGTAAAAGTCTTTTTACTTGTTTTAGGCAAGAAGAAGCTCTACCGTCTCGCTGCAAGGCTTTTAACTCACATTAACATTTACTAAATTACCAAATTATGTCATTGACTTCTCACAAAACATTAAAAAGCTACTAAAAAGGAACCAACAATTCTGAAACCACCACATCTTCACATCACATTTTTTTCCCCTCATTATCACTATATTGCATCACGAGGCGCCATTCTGGTGGGCGAGGAGTCTGAATGACTTTTGTGTTTATGTTGTTGAACTCCAAAGGAGGAGTTTTGTGAACAGTTGGAGCAACAACATCAGTTAGAGTCAGAACTCATCGGAAAACACACCAGTGGCTCATTTCCTTTGTTTCCACACTGAACCACATCTGGCTTTTTGGCTGTTAAGATTTCAAACCAATGCAGAATTTAAAAAAACATTCAAGTCACTATAAGGAAGTGACACTTTACTAACAGGAAGTAAATTATGTGTCTTTCTTAAAAAAGCACTAGTTCAGACACTTTGACAGTTGAGGGCGTGAGAACAAGAGCGAGAGACGCAAGATGGTTCGATTCAGATGGATTAACGTGTCTTTATTTGTGATACTCGTGCTTCAGTTTACAGGTAAGGATTCACAAAACACATACATGAATAAAATAAACATTACTAATTTACTAGTATTTAAGAAGCTAACCTTAAAGTTTGATAGCCAAGTTTACTGTTTGTTTTGAACCTGGTGTGTTGAGTGGATTCTTGTAAAAGGAACATACTGTACACTGTTTGTTATTCTCACACATAACTATAAATATAAAAGCCATATTCCTCTCACAGATCATTTTTTATATTTATCTCTCATCTTCAACAGCAGCAACTGGACAGAACTTCAACTCCTTCACTGTCAGAGTTGGAGATGAAGTCACTTTGCCTTGTGGAAATGTGATACAAAATCAGGATAATTGTGACGGTACTTCCTGGTTGGTCAGTTGTGAAATTGGGGCAGCAGCAACAGAGCTGATTACACATGGGAAGATCAGTAAAAATTGGATTTCCAAAGCTAAATCAGACAGACTGAGTATTACAGAGAACTGTTCTCTGGTTATAAAGAAGGTCACAATTGAAGATTGTGGTCGTTACACCTGCAGACAGTTCAACATATCAGGACAACAACAAGTTGCAGACTCTCTGGTTTATCTGTCTGTTATTAACAGTGAGTATTTCCATCATAATGTTTTCAGCTCAAACTGTCTTGTTAGAACAATATACTGAAACATTACAATAATTATGATCACAGTGATGAAGTTAACTTTACTCTTGTTGTCTTTCTCTCACAATATCTCCATCTTCACCAGTTGAACAATATCAGATCAGTTATACAGTCGGCTTCATCTGCTCTATGTTGACATATGGAGAGTGTGAACACACAGTCGAGTGGTTGTATGAGGGTAATAAGAATAACATGGTGACATCACAAGGTTCCTGTTTAGCCACTGTGGCTTTTACAGCTCCTCCTCTTAGCCAGAAGTCAAACTATTCTGAGTTACTGAAGTGTAACGTGACAGATAATATGAGTGGACAGATGCTGCTGTGTAGCGTTGACCTCCAGTCCTCATGTGAGAAAACAGGTAGGTTTGATTTTATTTGATGAATTTTAATGTTTAAGATTAGAACATTATTCTTTCTCATTTAGTCTCTTCAGATTGTTAACATGAGGTATTTTTTCATATCTTCTTGTGTTCTTTCATATCATATTAAACAAAATCTAAAGGAAGCACATTAGAGGGGAGAAACAAAACACCATCTGGAAATGATGAAACAAAACAAGGTAGTGACTAAACATCTTACATCTCTCTCTCTCTTTCCTTGTGAATTCTAAAGTATGAATGACAGAGTGTCACTCAGCTGTGGGTGGAGATATTGTCAATTTAGACATGATAAATTTATCAATAATATTATAAGTGCTTTTCAAGTCAACCAAGAACTGAACTGTGCCGTCAAAATGTTTCTAATGTTTTCAGAATCGTTCTGGAGGTTCATCATTGTGTCTGTGGGTTTAGCAGCACTCATAATAATTGTTGTGGCAGTCAACATCTGGACAAGAACTAAAGGTGAGAACATTCACAGATGAAACTCAGAAACAGGAAGTTTTGATAAAGCTGGATTTTCACTGTGGAAACTAAAGTCGACTCTTTCTCTTTTCTTTTCAGGGACAAAAACAGATGGATGAAAACACAGTGAGTTTATAATGTTTTTACAGTTGGTACTTTACACAGCAAACCAGTGTTTGTGACATCTGTTCTTCATTCTGAAGTTCAAAGGATTCATTGCACGGAAAATTCAACCAACACAAACTACAGCCTCCAAAGACGCCATAGATCTGAATCAACACGTCTTTGACACAGTGTCAATACAAACTGAACATTATTCCAGATTAAAGGGTCAGTTCACCTAAATTACATCACATCATGCAGTATTTTCTCACTTAACCTCTAGCAGCTTTAAACAACACAGATAGTTTAGTTTTATTTCCAAAAACAACGTCCACGTTACTAAACTACTATAAAATCTAGTTCCAATGCAAACTGTCCAGCAGCCAGTCAGATAAAGATCAGATCTGACAGTAACTAATGGTGCGTTCAGGGTCTGTGAACTGTGTTCAGTTTCAAAACATCAGCAGTAAACTGGGAGGAACATTTTGGATTTGGGGTACCACATAAACACTCCCTCTCTGGTCAGTCAGCTGCAGGAACATGTGACAGTTTGGGGTAGCCTACTTTATATTTACTCATATATTTATTTATTTTACTTTAATTAATTAGTTAATTTCCTTCTGCATGTCCTTCGTTACCACAGAAACACTTCCTCTCTCAGTGGCAGAAACATGTAACAGTAGCTGACGGTGCGTTCAGGTGCTGTCAGGTTATTTCTTATCTCCTTGTGTTAAATGTGGGTCAGTGATGTGAAAGTTGTCAGTTAAAGTGTGTCAGAGTGAGGGTTTGTTTGTGTTTCACAGGTGAATAATGATGAAGATGAAGATGATGGTGTGGTGAACTATGAAAACGATGGAGACCCTTCTGCCTCTGTCAGACTCCACTGATCAACAACTTCCATATCAACATCAGCTCATCAGAGAAAAGACTCCACTGCAGTTAAATAACAGCACATTTACACGAGTAGTTGAAGCCTTTAGAGAACTGTTGAGAAGATTTCTTAAGGTGCTTTGTTTATGTAACAAGGAAAGGTCAGACAGGTCTAGCTTAGAGTAAAGCCTAGTTCACACCACACAGTTTTAAGCCCGATTTGCCGCTCGGCGACCGTCAGGCTGTGATCAGGGGTAAATCAGAGATCGATCGACGGTCGCCAGTTGTCATGTGTGAACTACTCGAGGACGCTTCAAAACGGCTTCCCGACACATTTCTGACACATCGCAGACGCCAGCCAGATATCTAGCATCCAAATATCTGGAACATTCGGCCGACTCGACATCCACATCCAGCCAATGAGAGCAGGCAGCTACTTTTCACCGCAAAACACTTTTTACTCCCCTCCAGCTCTCTGTAGCTCAGACGATCCCTGCTACCTGCCTGTGCTAATCCTTTCTTTCACCCAGAGTCTTTCTCTTTATAATAACAAACAGCTGTTTTGTCTGTAGGTTCGCCTCATTTCATGTTTCACATTTCACATGTGTTTTCTTGACAAAACGTGGTTTGGAGACCAGCGTCGGGTGACACAGCCGCTGTCAGCTCGTGTAGTGTGACCCCCTGTCACCGATCAGTCAGGTAGTGTGAACGCCACGACGACTTCAAGACTCACGTCACAAGGCGGCAAGTTGTGCAGTGTGAACAGCACGGCCATCGGCCGATGCTGAAAGTTGTGTAGTCTGCACGAGCCTTAATTCAGCTGACCCCATAAGTGTTTTCTGACCTTCTAGCTCGAGGTATTTCTCACACGTCCTTGTCAGCGAGACAACAACAGACTGATTAGGTAGAGTCAGTAGCTCATGCGTCAGGCTAGCAGATATCGGTGTTCTCCGGTAATCATACAAGGTTGAGTCCTACAGGAACGTTTCCAAGAACCTACTGGCTCCACAGGTTAGAGCACAACTCATGGGTAGTGACAGATTCCAACATGATGAAGCACTGGAGTCTAAACATCAGATAGATGAGTTGTTCTGGGTTAAGGCCAGTTAAAGATGAGCTAATAGGGAAACCTACAGGCACTAGGGGGAAGACAGAAACATAAAAGGGACCAAAAGATGTCATCCTTCAGATTTGGTGTTGGCATTTGATGTGTTCACATGTTGTATGCTGGCACTGTGTCTCCTCGGCCGGGCTCAATAAACCTGTTACGGTGGGTGGCTGAGTTGAGCAGGTTGGAGGACCCAAATGCAGGACGCAAGGGAGAGGAGGTGCAGTGAAACGAGGTGATTTATTTGAACAAACAGAAGGCGAGCACACTTACTGATTGAGTGGCTGATACAGAGTCCAAAACAAAGGTAGTTCAAACAGAAATCCAAATCCAAGAAGTGCAGGGAACAGGGAGACACGACGAGAAAGGCTGGCAACCGGACAACACACAGCAACACTGGGAAACATCATACAATGACCCGAGAAAGACTGAGGAGGAACACCAAACATATATACACACACCAGGGACTAACTAGCAGGGCGGGAGTGACACAAGTGACAGACATGAGGCTAACGTAACAAGCAGAGGCAGAAGGAGGGAGAGAGACAGTGAGCAGAGGGAAACAGAGAGACTGACATGCAGGCAGAGTGACAACCGGGGGAACAGACGGAACACAGGTTACTGAACACAAAACAGACCAGAGTGAACACTTAACATGAACTAAGGTACAGGACTGGGAACAAGGACAAAGAACTAAAACGCAGGAACAAGAGTTAAGGCAGTGACTAAGAAACAATATAACAACTAGACTACCAAACTTTAAACCAAAGCAATATCAAATCAACACAGGACTACGAGCTAGAACACCAGACAAGACATAAACACTAAGAACAAGGAAACGAGAAGAACAGGTAAACAGAAGGACACCAGAAACAAATGGCAAAAACTCAAACTCACAGGGAAAAACTACAACTCATGACAAAACCATGCTATGTTAAGTCTTCATCAGTCTCCGAAACCTCTTCACACCTGAACCTGGCTCACAGTATTTCTTCAACAATAACAAAAATTTTTAGATTCTTATTACTGATTGTTTTTTTTTTATTTATCAGTGTGAGAAATGTTTGTGTGTTTTGTGCTCAGCTGTTTCTGTTTCAGTCTGACTTTGAACAACAATATTCAAGTCTTGATTTCATCTCATATCAGGAAGCCCACTGTGAGTTTTATAAAATGTCTTTTCCTGCATCAGTTGTGAAAATCTTTATTTTCTGCAGCCAGTTCAGAACACAGCAGCTGGATTTCAGCTTCATTTAACAGGAACGAGCATTTAACTCTAGTAACAGTCTCCTCTTTATTATATCTGATGACAATATAAACTGCAAATAAGTCTACATTAGTCTACATTGTGTTTGATTCCTTCATGTACTAACAGTGTCATAATGGAAAGTGAATATTCTTTACTATGAATGTTCTGCCTCTACTAGTAGAACCACCTCCCTCCTCTTGTCCCCTTCTAGTAGTAAACCTTCCCTCTGGAGGACCTCTAACCTTCCAGTGTCATGTTACGTCAGGCAGGGAGCAGATAAAGCAAGGATTCAGACAGAGTGAGAATTATACAGTGACAATCGGGGGGTCAACTTTTTTTCAGGTCGTAAAGGAAACAGCAGGTGTTTGTCTCAGTGAACTGAAGTCTTACAAAGCTACAATCTCCTTCCTTGTTTAACGTAATGTCTGCAGTCTGTAGATGAGGATGAATCAAGTTCACCAGTTCATGGGTGCCACAAACAGGAGTCACCAAGTATTGTAGAAAGTCAGACCCACACAATGCTGAACCAGAACCAAAGACACTATCATAAAATACAGTCTGCATTATCATCTCTAATTCATAATTCTTATCATTTCAAGTTTTAACTTTCAACTTACTCTTTTTTTAGCAAACATCTCATTTCCTCTAGCTCATGTTAACTGTGAATGAAATGTAATCTGCGTTCAATAAAGTAGTAGTCATACATGTGAAACAACAAACCTGGATTTGAACATTTTTCAGTTACCTAGCCAGGTAAAACTCCCAAATTCCAGAGTGAAAACAAATGGCGTGCTTATTGTAAAACACAGGCGAGCCAACACTAGACAAAAAGGAATACACACACTTAAATACCCAAGAGAGGTGGAGGAAACGAGACACAGGTGGAAACAAAAATCAACTCAAGGACAGGAAGTGAACTGACAAAGACCCACGAGGAAGGATTTAACAAAAGAAAACAGGAAATCACCAAACTCACAACCAAAACCAGGACATCCAGGGGTTAAAGTAGTTTTAATCAGAATTTGATAAACGCCTGTTTGTCTCATGTCCACATTCTCACCAAAACACTTCCTATTCAGCTCAGTCAGGAGAGACTTAAATGAAAAAGAGGCTTAAAGAGGAATTAAAAGGAAAAGGAACAGGAGAGTTTAAGAAATGTGAGAGGGATGTATGGCCTACCTGGTGGAGGGGCTGTGACCACAGAGGCCAGAACCAGAATGGATGTGAAGGGCTCAGTGGGATCACTGAAGACTGCTTGATCCACCAGCTGCTGGAGCGAGAGAGGGAGGGAGGCCTGGAGCTGGAGTGATGCTGCAGTCTTTTATCTGGTCGGGGTCCTCCAGGAGAGAAAAGACAGTTTGAAAGTCTGACAGCAACAATATGATTGGCTCACAGAGGTTGTGGCAAATTCTGATTGGTTTAACTGAAAGAATGAACGCCCTCAATCTAATGACGGAGTTGGAAGCAGAAAAAAGGAAGAGAGGGGGCGGGGGAGAAATAGAGTCAGCATGAACGATGTCTTACAGTATCACCATATTGCACCATGGACATCAGGAGTCAGATTCTGGTGGGAGAGGAGTTTGACTCTTCACCTGTCTGTTCATGTGTGCTGTCAAACATCACCATGGATCCTGTCTGTTT